TCAATTGAACCGAATCACAGGCGCAGCTCTTCAAATGCAAAGAAAACTACAGTGGTACAAGGTGATCTGCTGAAACCATGCATATATATTATAGATGTCACATTTTGTTTTTAGAATTGTGTTTGTTCAAAGCAACGAAAAGATAATGGCCAATGATGTATGATTACGGTGAAAATACAATAAAATTATAAAAAGTACTAATTTTGTTGTGATCTACCATAAAGTTGACTGCAAGGCCTTTCACCCATTCTCTAAGTTTGAATAGAGTACAATAGTTTATATATTGATAAAATATTTGGACATTCTTGATATTGATAATATGCATGATTAGGTATTTAATGTATTTTAATCTGTAATGGATTTTCTATCCTCTACAATGATGTATGCAGGAAGTAGACAGCATCGTTCATCCTGCAGCTAAATTTACTCGCAACAACATGGGTGACACACCTAGCCAACTATTTTCTGACGATCACGAGCAGTTAGTAAAAGAAGGGGAGAAATGGATGAAGAGCAAGGCAACTTGTTGTGCAGTGGTTGGTGCCTTTATAATTACAATCATGTTTGCAGCAGCATTTACTGTTCCAGGGGGTAACATTCAAGACATGGGCCTTCCTCCATTCTTACATAAGAAGGTTTTCCGGAGTTTTATAATATCAGATGCAATTTCTCTCTTTGCTTCCTCTACTTCATTGTTGATGTTCTTGGGAATCCTCACCGCTCGTTATGCAGAGGAAGATTTTCTGATATCCTTGCCAAGGAAGTTGATAGTAGGCCTTTCCACACTTTTCATTTCGATTGCAGCTATGATGGTTGCCTTCTGTGCAGCTCTTATGATTCTATTAAATGGAAAGCTGGAGGTTATCACTCCAATTATTTCCCTTGCTGCTATTCCAGTCACCCTTTTCATGTTTTCAGAACTTCCCCTCCTGGTTGAGATCTTCATGTCAACATACGGACGCAGCATCTTCGAAAGTAAAAAGAAGCCTCGCTCCTAAATGTATTTGTTTTGTATCCAAACAGTTCCTCTATTTCTGTATGTTCTAATTTTTCCACTCTGATAAAATTTGTTTAGCTGGGATGCTGTTGAGGATTGCTGCTGCTGTTTCTTGATCTGCTGTTTTAGGTCTTGTTGTTTTTCTTTGTTGTTCCGCCTGCAGTTTACCGACTTAATTATCTTAGGCCTATGCTCCGTCTCTACGTAATATGCTCCTCAAACTGTTGCAGTTGCAATCTCTTGAAAGAGAAGAAAGGATTAACCCTAGTTAAAATTGTTGAACCTTCAAATTATTATTCAGAAAAATTCAATAAATTCAGCCGATGCTAGTTTCAAGATTTGAATTCAGAAAATCAAAGAATGGAGTCTAACTCCTTAATCTCTGTACCATCTTCTTATGATTATGTTATCATCCCACTTGGATTGCTTGCTATTCCTACCTCACAATCAAAAGCTAGGAAACAAAACTTTCTGCTAAGTTTGGACCTAATACAAATAAAAGCTTATCCTCAAGCCTCAATATTCAAAATAGAGGGCATAATTGACAATCCAAGAAAACTAGAGTAGACTACATATCGTTAGGCCAAATACAAATAAAAGCAACAGTGGCAACTGCTAAATTAATGTGTTCAGCTCAGAGGAAAAGAACCATGTAGAGTTAACGAGTAAGTTTATAGAATAGTAAAGCTTTTGAGTGGTTGGAAAAACAATAAAGATGTTTGTTTAGATGTGTAATCGACATTTCCAACAAATATAATTATTGCTGCCTTCCAATTATTGTTGCAATCACCTAATTATTGTCTTTTTCACTTTTATCACCATCGCCACCAATACCATCAACTTTTTACCAGCAGAACTGCTATTGAAATCAAGACTTGATAACATTTACACCCGTCATCACGAGAGTAACACCATCCTTTTATTTTATTTTCATGTGGATAAGACCCACTCTTATTGGATTTTATATAGGTGAGGGACTTTCATTGACTGACATGGGTTGAATGAAGATCGGTGTTTCCATCATGATTAGGCATGGGGTAATCATGGCCTAAGACTCTTGAAAGACCTTATGTCAATAAAGAAAGCTCTGCCACGTTGAAAGGAAGCAGACATGATGAGGTGGGGGGTTCTTTATCGTTCTCAGTGTTTCTGCTTTCGCTGGGAATGTTTTTACCAGGAAGGTGGCAATGGAGAAAGTTGCTTTCCTTGAAAGAATAGATAAATTATATTAAAATTTTTAAATAATATTTATAATTTGAATAAAAAATTTTGTGTCATTTTACTGGAGCCCGTTGTTGTGATGGAAAAAAATTCAAAATTTATAACTGAATTTATATTATCAAAAAATCTTAATAAAATTTATACTCAATACCAATTTTTTTTATAAAAAAAAACCCATAAAGAATATTTTAAATAAAAAAATATTTTTATCATCATCTTTAATCGGATATATCTTCACTCTTCTTTTTATCAATTTTTTGTTTATATTTTCAAAAATTCAGTTATTAAATTTGAAAAAAAAAAGTAGAAAAACAAAATTAAGAAAAAAAAAGAAAGATGAGATTAAAATAATAATAATAATAGTAGATTAAAATGTGTCACAATCTTGTAAGGCTATCGGTGTAATTTAACACTATTAGCTTCAAAAGTTAAGGTACGAATGAACTTAAGACAAAAAAAAAGAATAAAAAAATGAAATTTAGGATAAAAAAAAAAAGGAATACAATCAAAACGAAATAAATTAAGAGTACAACCATTAACCCTCCGTAAATTGATTGAACAAAGCCGAAAAAGCAGGAATTCGAAACATGTAGGTCATGTTCCTAATGACATGTACGGCAAATTTATTCCACCAGAGAATAAAGGTATATTTATCTGTTGGCCCTTTCTCAAGCCTATTTGATTCTACTATTGCCCTGTTAGAAGAAGATGATGAATGGAGGCATGTTCCCTTTCCAATTTCCTAAACTCATAAAAGAAAATCATGACAATTGGTGTATTAGAATGAAATCATTGCTAGGATCATAAGATGCATGAGAAATTATTGAGAAAGGTTATGAACAACGAGAAGGTGAAGAAGCCATGGCACGCATGACTATAGCTGATAGGGAAGCACTCCAAAGGACAAAGAAAAGAGATCAACAAGCACTAACATTAATTCATATGTGCTTGGATGAAACCATGTTTGAGAAGATTTCGATGCGACAAGTGCGAAACAAGCATGGGAAATTCTAACGAATTCAAGAAGGAGATGGCTGCTGAATTTGAGATGATAGATTTAGGTTTGACGTCTTATTATCTTGGAATTGAAGTGAAGCAAGTTGATGAAGGCATTTTTTTTTCTCAAAGCAATTATGCAAGGAAGATTTTGAAAGAGTTCAACGTGGAGAATTGTCTATCAATCTCTACTCCGGTTGAATGTGGAGCCAAGTTATCAAGGTTTGATGTAGCTAAAAAAGTGGATCCAACTTTGTATCGAAAGCTCGTTGGAAACTTGAGATTTCTAACATGTTCAAGACCCGATATCCTCTATCGTGTTGGTGTTATCGGTCGCTAGATGGAGGAACCAACTACCACTCATTTTTAAGGTCTGCTAAGAGGATCTTGAGATATGTTAAAGGTACTTTGGATTATGGCTTATTTTATTCATCTTCTTAGAATTGTCATCCGGTTGGTTATAGTGATAGTGATTAGGGAGGAGATGTTGATGATCGAAGAGTACCACAGGTTTCTTGTTCAATATCGAAAATGCCGCATTCACTTAGAGTTCTAAGAAGCAACCGATTGTAACTCTCTCGACTTGTGAAGCCGAGTATGTCGCTACCGCTCGCGTGTGTTTGTCATGCTATTTGGCTAAGAAAATTGCTTAAGATGATGCAAATGTCACAAAGCGAAGCTACTAAAAAAATTTTTGATAACAAATTCGCCATAGCATTAGGAAAAAATCCAATTTTTCACGATAGAAGCAAGCATATAGATACAAGATTCCATTTCATAAGAGAGTGTGTTAGCAAGAAGGAAATGCAACCGAAGTATGTGAAGTCATAAGATCAAGTTGCTGATATATTCACAAAGCCTTTAAAGTTTGAAGATTTTGCTAGATTAAGAGCAAGTCTTAGTTTAACCAAAATTCAAGTTTAAAGGAGGATGTTAGTAAATAAACTTAAATTAATTATTATCATTATTAGTGGTATATGATAAGTCTTGGTATTTTAAGAGTTTACGATTATGTTCATGAATGAGATATCAAAAGTCTATCTTAGTGATTAAGATTTATGGCTATATATAGTATATTTATTGTTATGAATAATATCAGTTTTCCTATCTTCTAAATTTCAATCTATTATTCTTCTCTCTTGTGCCAACAAGCATCTTCGACAAGTAAAAGAAGCCTCGATCCTAAATGTATTTGTTTTGTATCCAAACAGTTCCTCTATTTCTGTATGTTCTAATTTTTCAACTCTGACAAAATCTGTTTAGCTAGGATGCTGTTGAGGATTACTACTGTTGTTTCTTGATCTGTTGTTGTAGGCCTTCTTGTTTTTCTTTATTGTTCTACTTGCAGTTTATCAACTTATCTTAGGCCTATGCTCTGTCTCTACATAATATACTCCTCAAACTGTTGTAGTTGCAATCTCTTGAAAAAGAAGAAAGGATTAACGCTAGTTAAAATTGTTGAACCTTTAAATTATTATTCAGAAAATTTTAATAAATTTAGCCGATGCTAGTTTCAAGATTTGAATTCAGAAAATAAAAAAATGGAGTATACCTCGTTAATCTCTGGACCATCTTCTTATGATTATGTTATCATCCCACTTGGATTGCTTGCTATTCCTACCTCACAATCAAAAGCTAGGAAACAAAACTTTCTGCTAAGTTTGGACCTAATACAAATAAAAGCTTATCCTCAAGCCTCAATATTCAAGATAGAGGGCATAATTGACAATCCAAGAAAACTAGAGTAGACAACGTATCGTTAGGCCAAATACAAATAAAAGCAACAATGGCAACTGCTAAATTAATGTGTTCAGCTCAAAGGAGAAGAACCATGTGGCGGTAACGAGTAAGTTTATAGAATAGTAAAGCTTGTGAGTGGTTGGAAAAACAATAAAGATATTTGATTAAATGTGTAATTGACATTTCCAACAAATATAATTATTGCTGTCTTTCAATTATTGTTGCAATCACCTAATTATTGTTTTTTTCGCTTACATCACCATCGCCACCAGTATAATCAACTTTTTACCAGCAGAACTGCTATTGAAATCAAGACGTGATCACATTTACACCCGTCGTCACGAGAGTAACGTCAGCCTTTTATTTTATTTTCATGTGGGTAGGACCCACTCTTATTGGATTTTATATAGGTGAGGGACTTCTCATTGACTGACATGGGTTGAATGAAGATTGGTGTTTCCATCATGATTTAGGCAGGGGGTAATCATGGCATAAGACTTTTGAAAGACCTTATCTCAATAAAGAAAAAGGTGGCAGACATGATGAGGTGGAGGATTCTCCATCGTTCTCAGTGTTTCTGCTTTTGAAGGTGGCAATGGAGAAAGTTGCTTTCCTTCGAAGAATAGATAAAATTATACTAAAATTTTTAAATGATATTTATAATTTGAATAATAAATTTTGTGTCATTTTACTGGAGCCCGTTGTTGTGATGGAAAAAAATTCAAAATTTATAACTGAATTTATATTATCAAAAAATCTTCACTCTTTAAGATACAAAAATTTTTGTGTCATTTTACTGGAGGCCATAAAGAATATTTTAGATAAAAGAATATTTTTATCATCATCTTTAATCGGATATATCTTCACTCTTTTTTTTTATCAATTCTTTATTTATATTTTCAAAAATTCAGTTACTAAATTTGAAAAAAAAAAGTAGAAAAACAAAATTAAGACACAAAAAAGAAAGAAAGATGAGATTAAAACAAAATAATAATAGATTAAAATGTGTTCGCAATCTTGTAAGGCTATTGGTGCATTTTAACACTATTAGCTTCAAAAGTTAAGGTACGAATGAACTTCAGACAAAAAAAAAAAAAAAAAAAGGATTACAATCAAAACGAAATAAATTAAGAGCACAACCATTAACCCTCCGTAAATTGATTGAACAAAGCCGAAAAAGCAGGAATTCCAAACATGTAGGTCATGTTCCTAATGACATATACGGCAGATTTATTCCAGCAGAGAATAAAGGTATATTTATCTGTTGGTCCTTTATCAAGCCTATTTGATTCTACTATTGCCCTATATATATAAAGGGAGGCATCATGTTTTTGCAAATTTATGAGTCAACTGCCAATTAAGTAGCAATTAGTTGCTGTATGCATTATCATTCCTACCCAACAGCGGCATCCAGGTACTACTTGCTAGCTTTTCAATGCCCGTATAGTAATTATTCTCATTCATCAAAATTAATCCATTAATATCTGATTATAACCAAGCTTCGGAATTTCGAGTCACAGGCTATAAGTATGGCAAGTGCTATCGTTCCTGAAATCTTGAGTAAAGATAACTACGATGACTGGAGTGTCTGCATGAAAAACTATCTACGGGCTCAAGATCTCTGGGATATTATTGAAGGGCCAAACAGCAAACCTCCTAATCAAGCTGTTACCGAAGCCGAATTTAAGGCTTGGATGAAAAAAATGCTACAGCTTTACATGCCATTCAAATTTCATGTAGGCCTGATATATATTCTCCGGTTAGGAAGACCGATTCAGCCAAAACTGCTTGGTATACTTTGTTGAAAAATTCATTCAGAAACCCATTCGCATGCGCATCGAAAGGTAATATTCGAACAAGTTTCTCATCTCTTCTTTTGACACAGACATCCATATGTGAGCATAAAGTTATGTTATATATATATATATATATATATATATATGCCCAAGAGAAAATGCAAAAAGCAAACAAGAGAAATTAATTAATGTGCGTTATGTCGGAGTACTGTCAGAACATTAATTTGTTTTAATATTTCTTCACTTATTTATCTAAACTCATTGTTTAAGATCCGTCAAACAATTTTGACAGGAAAGATCAACAATGAATACAATCGAGTTCCCAAACTACTCAAGTATATAAATCAAGGTGATTGGCATTCCGTAGGAAACTTTATTGACGAGTATCCAAATGTAATAAATGCAAAGATTACATCCGATGGCCAAACACCTCTTCATAAAGCAACTTGTGAGGGAAAAGTGGAGATTGTGGGAAAGTTGGTCAAGTTAATGTCTCCGGAAGCCTTGGCGGTACAGGATGTTTATGGTAACACAGCCCTCCATTATGCCGCTGCACGAGGAATGACAAGAATGGCTAGATACATGGTTGAAAAGAATGATACCTTGGTCACCATTGCTAATAATTGGGGAATTATCCCAACTTTATATGCTTGTGCAGGTGGTCAGAGGGATATGACTGCCTATCTTCTCACAAAAACTTCTTTCCGGTCGCTATCTCTTGGCCATGCGTCTGTACTCCTTCAATGTGCTATAGTGTTCAACATGTTTGGTAAGAGTTACACTCCCTTACCGCTCTCATTTCAAATAGTCAGAAATTAATATCGGTTGCTTAGTAATATTAGGTATAAGCCAACCACAAAAACTCACTATATTTGTACTACTCTACATGACAAAAGTAATTTATATTGTAAATCTCTTAAACCACCATATGTTAGACAATATTTATATCACATCTTTTTTGGAAATCGAAATCATATTTGTATGATAAATCTGAAAGTTTACTTTTAGAAAAAAGATAAGTAATAAAACTAAAAATTACAAAACATTAATGTTATTCGTACATGATGGATGGTGAGACTGACATCCATGTGTTTGATAGATGAAACTATTTTGGTACTAATTTATGTGCACAATTTGGATAATTAATTAATGCTAAGCGACCTTGAACACAGACTAGCTTTTGATATCTTTTTCTTTTCTTCTTTTTTTTTTTTTTTTCTTTTTGGGTAATAAGTTTTTCTCTTTTTCCTCTCTTGTCTCTTCCCCTCACAGAAGTACCAGTAGCAAATATTTACTGAGGGGAGCGGTACCAAACCTTTCCCTTATTCTGATTTTACTTCAGATCTTTCTTAATTTCTTGACCTGAACTGGACTTAATTCTAGAATCGCTCAAAGTTCTTACTCTTTTCTTAACCTGAATTAAGCTTTTATCTTATACCATCAATAGACCACATAAGAACTTCCCTTCCAATTTCGAATAAAAATAAATAAATAATAATAGAAAAATCATGTGCTGTGCATGTTACCTTAAATAGTTAAAAATGGGTTTCATCCAAAAAAAAAAAAACACTTTTGTGTTATGGTGGATAGTTCATTTAACATCCTTTATATTATTTTATTTATTTAATGTGAGATATATTTAATAAAATTTTTCCTCACTTACAACCTATCTTTTCATGATCTTTTCATTGGCTTAGATTCTAAGACACTATCGAATTTTGGCATATAACGATATATTTTTTCGTCGCTATATATCAAAAATCTATCATTATATACAATTAGTGATGAATTAGAGACAATATGGATTCATTGCTAATATGGTGGTCGCTATTTCATTAGCGATTGAAAATTTTTTCGTTGTTAATTAGCAACGGATTTTTTGTCAGTCATTTGTTAAATTTTCATTGTTAAATCGATCTAAATTAACCGTCTTCACAGTCTCATACCTATCATCATATTGTCGCTAATTTCACTTACATCCTTTGCTAAATAGCAATGAAATAAGTGTGGCTAAATTCTAGTCCCTCATGTCCTCGCAATTCCATCGGTAAATTTATCGCTATTTAGACAATTGGGGGTGATTGTCACAACTAGATCAAAGCTCTTTATTCGTTGCATTCAACATGTCATAAAAGACTCAAATGTCGGGATTTGGTACATTATCTATGCTAGAATGATTAAATAACGGATCGGATGCATTTATCATCATTGTTTGATATAGATTGTGGATTGACTACAAATATTCTCTTTGCTTTCATGAAAATTTTATCTAATTGCTTAAGTTTTTACGCTGTGATAATTTTTTGTTCTGACTATTTCTTTTTTCCCATAAATTAGCTTTTTAAATGACATAATTATCACTACTGTTTCTTTGCATGATATAATGCCAGATCTTGCTTTGGAACTATTCAACAGTTTTCCTAGTTCGGCTACTGCTAGAGATGCTTTTTTCAATCGCAGTGCTTTGGGGGTACTGTCTGTTTCACCGGACTTATTTCCAAGTGGATGTCAACTTGGACTTTGGCAACGATTGATCTATTTTTGTAAGTATATTTTGATCTTTTTAATTTTTAGTCTAAACAGTCAATATAAATAGTGTTAAACAATGCTCTCAATTTATTTATTATTTTTTTTTTACTTATTGTGCCAGGTCATGCTAGTATTTTGATTTTAGAAAGAGACTTTACATCTAATGATCACTCACAATAATTATTTACACATTTTATAAAAATAATAAAACTTGAACCCAATACCTCTTTATATCTTAAATAACGTCCTTATCACTAGTCCTTATGGATTATAAACTTTCAAAAAATAATAAATAAATAAATAATATAGAAAGAATCATGATATTTTCATAAAATAAAATAATATTAAATTAGTCATTATTAATACTGATCAAATGACTATTTAATTTATTTTATAAAACTAAAAAAAGCTAATTTACAATCTACTCCAAATTAATTTGTTTAAAGATAAATATTAATGAAGTCAAATTTTTGTGAAAGGTATACGTATTGATGTTGAATCACTCGTTCCCCACGATGGTGATGATCAAAGCAATGTTGACGACAACATCATTAAGCAACAAGGTGAAAAAGTTATGAGTATATATATATGTGTGTGTTTTGTTATTTTCATAAATGAAAAATATTTATTTTAGTTCTTCTCCATCTTGATGTTTTTAGTATTGTGCAATCTCAACATAGATCATTGTAAAATAAAAATAAAAATAAAAAATTCCAATTTTATTACTGAATTGATGTAAAATGTGCAATATACCTTTAGGACAAAATTTCCAGACCAACCGACTAGAATGTGTAAAGTGAGCTACACGTGTGCCAGGTCATATTAGTATTTTTATTTTAGTAAGAGACTTTACATCTAATGATCACTCACAAGAATTATTTACACAATTTATCAAATAATAAAACTTGAACCAATACCTCTTTATATCTTAAATAACTTCCTTATCACTTGTATTAGTCCTTATGGATTATAAACTTTCAAAAAATAATAAATAATACAGAAAGAATGATGATATTTTTATAAAATAAAATAATATTAAATTAATCATTATTAATACTGGTCAAATACTATTTAATTTATTTTATAAAACTAAAAAAAAAAAAAAAAAAAAAACTAATTTACAATCTGCTCCAAATCAATGTGTTTAAAGATAAATATTAATGAAGTCAAATTTTTGTGAAAGGTATACGTATTGATGTTGAACCACTCGTTTCCCACGATGGTGATGAGCAGACTCGTATTGACCTCGATCAAAGCGATTTTGACGACAAGATCATTACAAAACAAGGTGAAAAAGTTATGAGTACTCATTATATATATATCTGTTTTGTTATTTTGATAAATGAAAAATATTTATTTTAGTTCTTCTCCATCTTGATGTTTTTAGTATTGTGCAATCTCAACATAGATCATTGTAAAAAAAAAATTAAAAAAAAAACCCAATTTTATTACTGAATTAATGTAAAATGTGCAATATACCTTTAGGGCAAATTTTCCAGACCAACCCACTAGAATGGGCAAAGTGAGCTACACGTGATTGTTATTGTGATAACGAACCGAGCTTAAACTTTACTAAAAGTTGGGAAAAAACAGGAGTTTCACTGTTTATGCACAATCGTCAACTCATAGGCAGTTCTATGTTTCTTATGCAGTTTCATTAATTTCCTTTCCTCATACAAAAATAATTATAAAAATAATATGTACTTTCCTTACATTTTGAAGTGTTAGGTAACTTGCGCCGACTTTGCGTAAATTTCCTCAGATTCTTAGGTAATGTGTCCCATGACAAGATCATTAATTTTCTCATATTATTAGCTTCATTTTTTTCCTTTTTCATTTTTTTCTCTTTATTATTCTGATTCTGTCCATGGTTTTCCCTTTAATTATTCTGATTCTATTCATGGTTTTTTCAATTAGGAATCAAAAGAATATATGATTTGAAGATGACACATGCCTATTCTAGAGAACTTCTACGTTTAATCTGTGAACATATATCAAAATTAGATGAAAGTACACACGAAGAGATTGGAATTCCAGAATACTTCAGGAATGCAGTTGAGCGTGGTTTAGTTGAGATGGTTTCGGCAATCTCCGAAGCTTCTCCTTATTTTTCCAATACCGAGGACGAGGATGATAGAAATCCAATTATGTACTCGATTGTAAATCGTCAAGAAAAGGTTTTTAACCTGTTTGCTAAGCTACCTTTATGCCAAAGCTTTATTATAGATAAATTCGGCAATACATTGTTGCACTTAGCTGGAATGCTTTCACCTGCCTCTCAATTGACTCGAATCTCAGGCGCAGCTCTTCAGATGCAAAGGGAATTACAGTGGTACAAGGTGATGATTTCCAGCTCAAACCTTATGTTTTTGTCATTCATGTTTTGCAGCTTAATTAATTTTGTGCAGGAAGTGGAAAGCATCGTTTATCCTGCAGCTAAATTTGTTAGCAACCAAAACGGTGAAACTCCTGACCAGCTATTTACGAAGCATCACAAACAGTTGGTGATAGAAGGGGAGAAATGGATGAAGGACACTGCAACTTCTTGTACGGTGGTGGGGGCTTTGATCATCACAATTACATTTACTGCAGCATTCACTGTTCCGGGTGGTAATGTTCAAGACAAAGGCATTCCGTTATTTTTACACAAGAATGCTTTCATGAATTTCATAATATCGGATACGATTTCTCTCTTTGCTTCATCAACTTCAGTTTTGATGTTCTTGGGAATCCTCACATCTCGTTATGAGGAGCAAGATTTTCTCAGCTCCTTGCCCACAAAGTTGATAATCGGCCTTTCCACGTTGTTCATTTCTATTGCAACTATGATGGTTGCCTTCTGTGCTGCTCTTGTACTTATGTTAGACGGAATGATGAAGGTTATCATTCCAATCGTGTTGCTTGCTTCTGTTCCCGTGACACTTTTCATGTTTTTGCAATTTCCCCTCCTGGTTAAGATCGCCATGTCAACATATGGACCCAGTATCTTCAATAGGAAGAGCTAGGAACCATTAGTACTATGTGTATTTAATTTGTGTCGAAACAGTCTCTCTCTATATCTGGAAGCTTTCCTTAACTCTGATGAAGACTTCGTTGCTGGGAAGCCGTTGAGGATTGCTTCTGCTGTTTCTTAAATATTTACTTGTGATGGTGTTGCTGTTAACTTTGTTACTTTGTCTACAGACATATCTAGATCATGAATGGGCTTTGTTTGGTTTGCTTCCTCTCTTTATTGGAGCTTACCTACTCTCCTTAAAATTCAAATGCTTGATTAGCAATCTCTTTGTTGT